GTTCTGGCACCTTGGAAATCTTTTGTCGCGACTTGACCGCCAGAACGGAGTTAAGAGCCGATAAATAAGTTCCTATAGTGTTGCCCTTGAGACGCCTGGACTTCCGAAGAAAGAGAAGGAACTCTGCTATAAACTGAGGAGAAGCTTTCAACGGGTCCTTGGACTTCTGTGCACAAAAAAATTCTCAAAAGAAACCCACTTATCATCATAGAGTGATCTTGTGGAGACTCGATGAGCACGAGCAATAACCTTGGCGACACCCGGAGAAGCCCTTGGCCTTCAGCCTTTTGCAGATGATCCAACCGCACAGATGAAACCGAAGTCGGATCGGGGATGCCACTGTCGACTGTGGGGATGCCTGAGCAGGTAAGGCCAGTCTGGTAGCTGTTGCGGACTTCTTTCGGCGAGACGGCGCAGATCTGGGAACCAGGTTCTGGCTGGCCACCAAGGCGCGACCAAAAGCAGACGAATCGTCTCTGTCCGCTTGACCTTTGCTATTACCGCTGGCAACAGAACTGGTGGTGGAAAGCGCATTACGCCCAGACCCTCCCACGACAAGGACATGGCGTCGACCGCCCATGCCGCTGGATCTGGAATCGGAGACACGCATAAGCGGCAGCTGTGTGTTGAAGCGAAGTCGCAAACAGGTCGATCAGAGAGGCGGCCGTGACTGTGACAAAGAAGTTTGAAGCGCTTCTGGATGTAGCATCCACTCTGTTGGAGACGGTTTGCCCGGCCTTGAGAGAGGCGTCTGCCAAAACGTTCTTGCACCCTGGGATGTGTCGGGCTCTGGCGCTGATGCCATTGTCGTCCAGGAGACTGGCCAGCTGGAACGTCTGCTCCAACAACTGTTTGGACCTGGTCGTTCCCTGATTGTGAATCAACCACACCACCGTGGAATTGTCCGACGCTATCAGGAGCCTGGTGTTCCGCAACAGAGGCACCCAGTGTCGAACCGCTAAAATGACTGCTTGCAGCTCCAAGTTGTTGATGTGCCATCCTAGCTCGGTGCCGGACCACAGCCCCGAGGTGGTCTGGTCGTTGAGGTGTGCACCCCAACCTTGAAGAGACGCATCTACGAACAGTTCGTGATCGTGAACAAACTCTGTCAAGGAGACTCCTGCGCAGACGTTCGACTCGACAGTCCACCAACGGAGGTAAGCGTGGAGATGCAGGGGCAAAAGGAACCTCAACTGAAGGTCGTCCGCCTGGATGTAAGGCAACAGGAAGCGCTGTAACGGCCGAAGCATCAAGCGACCTCTGAGCGTCAAGTCCTGGGCTGAGGTGAGGAGACCTAAGAGGGACTGCCACTCCCTGAGCACGAGCGGCTGGGATAGACCTCGGTTGGCGAAACTGACAATCTTTCTCCAGCGATCTAGCGGAATCCTGACAAGGTCGCAATGTGTCAGGAAGAAGCCTCCTATAAACGTCAGTTCCTGGGACGGCTCCAGGTGGGATTTGTCTATGTTGATAATCCATCCCAGTTGCTGCAAGAGATGAATGGCAAAGTGCATCTGTTTGCGAAGCAACTGAGGGTCGAGGTGGTTCATGAGACAGTCGTCTATATAAGGGTCGAAGTCGATGCCCCTGAGATGGAGGAACCGGGTGATCGGCGAGGTAATCCGAGTAAAAAGCCACGGGGGCCGTGGAAATTCCAAATGGAAGCACTTTCCACTGGTAGTGGGACCCGTTGAAAAAGAACCTCAGGTACTTTCTGTGACGGTGGTAAATGGGCACATGCAGGTAGGCATCCTGAAGGTCGAGGCTGGCCAACCAGACCCTGGAAGCAGCAAGCTTGGCTCGTAGCTGTTCCAGGGACACCATGCGGAAGTGAGGCGGTTCCGAAAGATAAAGGTGGTTGAAAACTGCCATGTTGTGAATCATGCGTAGTTTCCCTGAGTCCTTCTTGGGAACCAGGAAGATTGGTGAGTAGAACCCCGGGGACTGTCGGGGGTCTAGCACTGTCTCTATAGCTTGTTTGCGTAACAGAGTGTGGATGCTGTCTGCTAGCAGTAACTGTTGGTCTGGAGCATACACACGTGACTGGGGCGTTGAAGTCAGAGGCGGCGACACGGCGATTGGCAGCTTGTAACCGGTCCTGAGAATGTTGGTGACAAACGGGTCTTCCAGGATTGTCCAATTGGGCCAGAAGATCCCCAGTCTCCCGCCTACTGGAGTAGGACGAACCGGCACTACTGGGGGCGGAGGTCCCAGTCGTGTTGGGTCGCAACTTCAGCTAATCGGTAAGGCCGCCCCTACCCTGCCGAGGCGTCGAAGGGGTCCCGGGACGATCCTGCTGACGGCGCTGAAAAACAGGTTCGGATCTGCCACGGCCACGTCCTCTGCCAGAGGCGTCGCGGACGGAGTCTCTTCTCGGGACGTAACGGCGCTTCCCTCTACCCCTTGCAGATGATCTGCCACGAAAGGCCGAACTCAATGCTTCGAACGTAGACAAAGAAACCTCCGTATTGGTAAGCTCTGCGTGTTCCTTATACACCTCCGGAATGCCGTCATTAAAGAGGAAACGAGACGTAAAAGGGGCTCTTAACAGTTTCCTTTTAAACTCTTCCTGCCAAGAACAGGGCTCCAGGAAACCCATCCGCCGAACAACAGTTGTCATGGCCAAAGCCGCCCGGAGGTGCGCCAGCAAATCATGCAACACCTTACCCTGCCATTGAAACAGGGTGGTAAGATGTTCTAACCTTGACGTGTTGTCTTCCGTCAAATCCCAAGCTGCAGCCGAAGTTGCAGAGGCCAACGCTGATACAGGCTTCAACATCCGCTTGAGTTCCGCATCAATGGCCAACATCTTGGAGTCCTGCACTCGGTAAGATGACTGTGGGGAACCCGATGCTAGCTTGGGCTCCGTGGGGAACCCGATAAGCGCTTGAGGGACTCATCATGAGCCGCGCCTCCATCCGCGAAATCCAAACTATGAATCTTGTAGTCCCCTTTGCGTGACTTAGGAGCCTTAATAGTGGTATTGAGAGACAAAGTAGCAAAATCAGCGTCCAAAGAAGCCACAGCATCGGCCACCATCGGGTGAGGCGGGAGGAGTAACTCCGGAGAAGACCGAATAGCCTTCGGGTCGGCCGAACCTGAAGAGGGAGAAGGACAATCCGGCAGTCTGTCGGCAATCCAGTCGAACACAGCAGCAGAGAGGGAGGTAGGTGCCCCATCATCATCATCCTCTTGCAACATTTCCTCATTATAATCGGAGAAAATAAGCGCTCCTCAGTGTCCTCCCAGGACACGGTAGGAGCAGTAAATCGTTGACCCGGCAGCAGGCTTCGGTGGGCTTAACCGATGACAACTGAGAAGCAGCACTCAAAGTAACTGTCGGGAACGTGGACGCCGCGGCGCGGCGGCGAACAGGAGGTGACCTTGAACGGGACCGACGGTATCGCCTACCACGATCGGTGATCGTGGAGCCTCTCCCTATCCTTGGAACGTCACGGGAGAGCGAGACCTTGAGTCAGACCGACGACGGCGTAAGAGAAGTATCCGAACTAAGACGAGGACTCCTAGACCGATGATGCTGCCGAGGAGACCTGGAGCGAGATCGTCGAGAACGATGGGAACTTCGGCGTCCTGGCGTCGGGAACGCTCTTCCATTAACTGACGTTGTAGGTCCTCCTCTCTAGACACTGTAGCCTTCCTGGGGATACGGTAGTCTGCCAAAGCGCCGAGGTAGCGCTGGCGTCGGTACAGGCAGCATCGGCGTCAGCATGGGCGTCGGCGTCGGCATATAGCGCCCGGCGTCCATGATGGGCGTCGGCGTAGGCATCGGCGTTGGTTGAAGCAACAAGCCAGCAACGGAGAATCAAGTGCCACAGGCGCCGGAGCGCGAGGGACAAAGCTAGGCAGCGCGCTGGAACGGTGCTAGCTTGGGCTCCGCAGCTGCCGGCAAAGAGGCGTCGAAGCAACTTCTGACCTCGGATGCGACAAAGCGTCCGAGGTGGGATAGGTCAACAAAGGCGTCAGACGGGGCTTTGGCTTCAAGCGCCAGCAAAGCGAGGCGCAGGGTGGACGGCTGATCTATCACAGGAGAAGAAGCGTCCGACCCGCATACGAGGGGAGAAGATCCGGGGAGTCCACAGAAGAAACAGGGGAAGACATTTTCCTCTTCCGTTGTGACAAAGCGTTTCTTCTTAAGCTGAGGTAGGCCTTGAAATCTCGCGGACGGACAGCGAGTACAAAAGTGACAGCGCTTCGTCAATGGAACAGGCAACAGTCGCACAGTCTGGGCACCAGGGGTGTGGGTCCTTGGCAGACTTCTGCACCTTGCAGATGCAACAAAACTGCCGGGTCATGCACACAAAAAGCTGTAACACACAAATGTGAAACGTAAAAACCTAGAAACATAACCCCTGCAGACGAAAAAATGGAAGCACCCCTACAACAAGAATGGGCACGCCCAAGTAAGTGGGACAGTCGTGTAAACAACCAAGATGGCTGCCCCCACACTGAGCCGAAAAAAGCGTGAAAACACACACAAATTAGGCAAGAAATAAGAAGGTACACATAAATAAGCATGAAACAGAAGGTGGAAGAACCCTAGAGGTATCAAAACACCCAAACATGCCACGTGGAAAATCTCGGAACGTGGGGACACACCCCAAACCGAAGTGAAAAAAAAAACCAAAACACGAGGCAGCCAGGTAAGTGAAGTTACTTGTAAATTATGTTCTTCACCCACAGAGAAGAGACATAAGATAGAAAAACATACATACCAATAACTTTAATATCTGAAATCTATTAGTAAGTGTCTGAAAACTTAGCGAAACAAAAACGTCTGACAAGCAAGACGCTTGAAGTAAAAGTGATTTTGGATGGACCGCGCTTGCGCGGGAGGGGAGATCACGTCACTTCCGTTGCCTGTACACTCGTCGATACACGAGGTGGCCGTTCTATAGAATGGCGAATCAACGACTGTCTGATCTCTTTAAGCGGAGCTTGAGGTAATATGCATAAGACCTATGGTAAGGTAAGTTAAAAATAATATGTTTTAAGTACATTGTTCAGCTATATGCAGCAAATTAACCATATTACTATACACCAACACACATGAGAAATGAGCTATCATCATCATCATCATCATCATCACACCCATCCATCACCCAAACAACCAACACCACCCACACATACTTGCCCATTTAAAAAAGCCCATGACACTGACAGTTTCCCCTTGAATAGTCAACTGTGTGCTAAAGACAAAACTCTATGCTCAAAAGCTAGGTGTATAAATTCTACAACTACAGGGCCTAGTTCTGAGTCTGAGTGAGTGAGTGAGTGAGTGAGTGGGTTTAAAGACTGCTTTGACCTAGGGATTAGCTGATGCAGGTCATGCGTTATATCCATCGACTCAGGGATCATGATGAAGCTGGTGAATCAGAGATCCAACCCATAACCCACATCTAAGGGACATAACTCTCTACAGTCAATTGAAGTGTTAAACACCACTTGAACTCAAGCCTCAGCAGGCTTCCTGTGTGAAAAATCATGATGAAGTAAGGTCAAGCTATTGGCACTCTTAGTCGGCACATCTGACATACCCATTTCAGGGAAATTAAACTGTTCCAATTCATCAAAGGAAAAAGCGAAAAACTATAAAAATGTCCTGAAAAAGTGAATGTGATGCATTGCCTTTGACCCTTACACTCCCAACATCATTGTGTTCTGGACTCTCGGACACTGTTGTATCTGTGATCAAATCATTTACACTTTGTCAGGAGTGTGAATCCAGTACAAATCACATGAATGTCTAGATAATATTTGAACTTATCAAAGGATTTAGCAAGCCAAGACTGGCTTCAAACATTCAATTCTGATGTCTGGGCAGGTCTGTTTCACTCTAAAACAAGAGAGTACACCCCTACATAAATGTGAACCCCTGAGAATGGCATCAACACTTGATGTTTCTTAAAATATAGGTTAGTTATACAAAATGCTCAACGCACCAACAATATCTTCTCAAGTAAGTATTGCAACTGATTGTACAGGTGAAACATAACTAAACAACACACCAACTGTCTTGAATCAAAATGCCACGGCATGTCAGTATATGACAGTTCTAAATGCCCTTCACACTATGGTAAACTGATCCACATGGCAGCATGTGGTGCCACATCCTCACTCCCCGTCCCACGTTGTGCTTCACCCTCTGTCTGACAAATGCACCATGTTGTACCATGTGTCTGACAAACGTCACAAGATCTTGGGACACGTTGTTAGTGTCTGACAAATGTCACAAGATGTGCCACGCCCTCATTGTCAGCTGACTGTCACAAGATGTTATGCTTCTCCTTGTACCTCTTCCGAGCAGCCTCATACATGGCTTTCTTTCTGTCTTCCAGGGACATCTGGCGGTTGCCTGCATTTCTTCCAAAGTTGTCTGACTTGAACGTCAACTGTGAAGGCTAGAATAAAGGTTGAGTGAATGAGTTATTTTGGTCAAGGGTCACAGTGGTACAATTGTTCTTCTATATCAGTTGGAGTGAGTGAGTGATGTTTTACGCTGCTTTTAGCAATATTCCAGCAATATCATCACAATATTACACATTGTACCCATGTGGGGAATCGAACCCGGGTCTTCGGCGTGACGAGCGAACGCTTTAACTACCACTGTACCAGGCTACCCCACCGCCCAATATCAGTTGGAAGCCAGAGCTGTGATCTCAATATCTGTTTGTTCCTCAAACCACACTCAACATTATTCCCGGTACTTGATGGTAGCCTATCGAGACAGGACCAGAGAGTGATTGATGTTACGATCTTTATTTTATACAACCCATTAAATCAGGAATTGTGCCCAATTAACCAACAAGCATTGGTATGGCGCTATTTTAAGTTTGGTTTTATTAATGCATAAGCATTGGAATGGAGCTGGTTGTATGTAGTATTATAGTATAATAGTGAAAATAGTAAACAAAATTTAATTCATAAATGGCTAAACTTACACAAACTGTCTGTTGAACTGGAGGTGATACAGAGTTACCCTCTGGAGGTGGTATGTCCTCTGGTGTGAACTCCACGTTCCCCTCCAGGATGTTGGTGATGACAACATCCACATCTTCACACCTGTCTGAAACACACACCACACCTGTCTGAAACACACACCACACCTGTCTGAAACACGCCTGCCTGAAACACACACCACACGTCTGAAACACACATCACACCTGTCTGAAACACAAATCACACCTGTCTGACAAGCCCATCACACCTGTCCGACACATGCATCACCTGTCTGTCTGAAACATGCATCAGATCTGTCTCAAACACACATCACACCTGTTTGAAACATGCATCACATCTGTCTCAAACACTCATCACATTTGTCTGAAACACACATCACACCTGTCTGAAACACATCACATCTGTCTGAAACACACATCACACCTGTCTGAAACACATCACACCTGCCTGAAACATACATCACATCTGTCTGAAACACACATCACACCTGTCTGAAACACACATCACACCTGTCTGAAACACATAAAACCTGTCTCAAACATACATCACATCTGTCTGAAACACACCTGTCTGAAACACATCACACCTGCCTGAAACATACATCACATCTGTCTCAAACACACATCACACCTGTTTGAAACATGCATCACATCTGTCTCAAACACTCATCACATTTGTCTGAAACACACATCACACCTGTCTGAAACATACATCACATCTGTCTGAAACACACATCACACCTGTCTGAAACACATCACACCTGTCTGAAACACACATCACACCTGTCTGAAACACATCACACCTGTCTGAAACACACATCACACCTGTCTGAAACACACAATACAAGCATATCTAAGGTGCTGATAAAAAAATCATAATCAGGCCAAATCTGAAATTGAAACCCATGATCATAGGATCATGCAAAGAGTGCTGCTTTCATTTACCTAGCTCTGCTACAATAGTGGCAATAGGGACATGTGGTAGTACACTCTTCACTTGGTCTACCATGACCTTGACCTCTGGGGCAACTGTGATCTGATTGGTTGTGACTGGCGGTGAGGGGGATCCTTGAGATTGTTGTTTAGCTGCCGGAGCTTGTGTGATTTCAGCAGCTGGAAAAAGTTGAATCTGCCCTGAGAATACACTCATCATAAGTTCAAGAAATTGATAAAATAATAAAAAAAATAAGCAAAACTTTGTTTAAACATAAGGTCATTAACTGTTCCTTTGTTCCTTTAGCTGAAGGTTTTACCAGCTACACTCATGGTCAACAGCATGAACAGCTGTCGATGCTGTTGCATGTTACACAAGTCACAGATGGTTGTGCATAGTCAAACCCTGTTAACAGCCCTGCCACCACTACTTTCTGTTAACAGCCCTGCCACTCACTACTTACTACTGTTAACAGCCCTGCCACCACTACTTACTGTTAACAGCCCTGCCACCATTACTTACTGTTAACAGCCCTGCCACCACTACTTACTGTTAACAGCCCTGCCACCACTACTTACTGTTAACAGCCCTGCCACCACTACTTACTGTTAACAGCCCTGCCACCACTACTTACTATTATTAGGCACGGGTGAAGCTGGCAAGGGGTAAGACTGCCTCTTGAGGTAGTCAGTAATGTCAGAGTGGGTGTACGCTGTTGCCGAGACACCCAGACTCCGACACATATTCTGTCGCACTCTTTCAGAAAACTCTTCAAACAGCTCTGCTTCCTTCTTCTCAGTCACTGGCAAATATCTGTAAGACATGTCAAAGTGATGACATGACATGGCATTCAGCCTAAACCAAAACATAAACTGCTGAAGACCAATTCTAACATCAGACCTTCAAATGGGTTGCTGCAGATCAATTCAATTCAGTAGCTAGAATGAGCGAGTGAGTTGGGTTTTATGCCACTTCTAGCAATATTCCAGCAACATCACAGTGGGGGACCCCAGAAATGGGCTTCACACATTGTACCCCTGTGGGGAATTGAACCTGGGCATTTGGCATGACGAGCAAATGCATTTAACCACTGTGCTACACCAAGGCCCTCTTCAGTAGCTAGATCTTCATGGTGGAACTAACACGTACAGCATGCTGCTCATAGCTAATCAACATTTGTTATGTCCAGGTTGATGTATCCTAGTTTGTGTTTGTGTGTTTGTTGGCTGCACTCCAATATTCCAGCTATACAACTGTGTGATTACAATATGCCATTTAGAAAGTGGTCAAATGCAACATATGTTATATTTGGGATTACACTTTCTTAGTGAAGTACAAATTCTAATACTTTTTTGGGTTGAGTCCCATCCGGGATTCGAACCCACACCCTCAGAGTCAGGCACCTAATCGCCAGCACACAAAGTCATCCGCCTAACCCGCTCAGCCACAGCGACTTCTTTTGTGGAAGTCAGACAACTGGTAGTCTAGACTGCGGACTTTGTGTACCCTCTGTTAAGTCCGTAAATTGGCACGGACTCAACACAAAAATGTACTAGAATTTGTACTTTACTAAGAAAGTGTAATCCCAAATATAACATATGTTATACAACTGTGGTTGCTATAGCCGGGGAATGACACTATTTCACGAAAATACACCTAACTGTCAGCCTCATAATCCCCGAGAGGTGATTATCTGATGGTCAACCATTATGTACACCTGATATTTTTATCAAAGCCACCACAAAATTCAGTGTAAACCTAAAGTGGACCTATGTTTACTTAACAACTCACCGTAATTTAAATATTGTGTATGGAACAAAAAGGCACCAGAAAAGGTCACTCCACCAAGTACTTTTGACTGTGGACTGAAACAAAAACAAACATCTGGGTAGTGGAAATACAATCATCAACTAACATCAGCTAACATCAGCTAACATCAGACTAACACCAAACCTTACCATCACCTGATAATGTACAATTTGTGTGACTTTCAGGCCACTTAACGCTAAAGTTTAGAATGTGGCACTTGATTACCTGCATGAGACTTTACCTTGTATTTTTGCGATTTACAGTCAACAATGTTAAAAGCTATATGACTGATACTTCAGTAAGTCCACCATGAAAGGATTTGAGACAAACGCAGCAAATGCTAAGCAAGATGGCTTCAGATACTTACGACATTTATTTTGAAAATTTCTACTCTGCTTGCTTGAATTGTTATCTGAAACAAAGAGAAATAATAACACCAGTCAAATTACCATCTCATTCTACTGGGTACATTCACTGCTATGCAAACAGAAGCATATTTTCAACAACAGCACATGCCTGAGGAGACGGCAGGTGTACATGTGCTTAACGAGACACCAAGTGTACAACATGTGTCAAAGGAGACAACAGGTGTACTACATGTGTCAAAGGAGACAATAGGTGTACATGTAAATGTGCTACAAGGTGACACCAGGTGTACTACATGTGTCAAAGGAGACACCAGGTGTACTACATGTGTCAAAGGAGACACCAGGTGTACTACATATGTCAAAGGAGACACCAGATGTGTACTCGAACCATGTCAAAGGAGACACCAGGTGTACTACATATGTCAAAGGAGACACCAGGTGTAAACATGACACCAAAGGAGACATGAGGTGTACTACATATGTCAAAGGAGACACCAGGTGTGTACTACATGTGTCAAAGGAGACACCAGGTGTAGGTGTACTACATATGTCAAAGGAGACACCAGGGTGTACTACATGTGTCAAAGGAGACACCAGGTGTACTACATATGTCAAAGGAGACACCAGGTGTACTACATGTGTCAAAGGAGACACCAGGTGTACTACATATGTCAAAGGAGACACCAGGTGTACTACATGTGTCAAAGGAGACACCAGGTGTACTACATATGTCAAAGGAGACACCAGGTGTACTACATGTGTCAAAGGAGACACCAGGTGTACTACATATGTCAAAGGAGACACCAGGTGTACTACATATGTCAAAGGAGACACCAGGTGTACAACATATGTCAAAGGAGACACTACAGGCGTACTACATATGTCAAAGGAGACACCAGGTGTACAACATATGTCAAAGGAGACACCAGGTGTACTACATGTCAAAGGAGACACCAGGCGTACTACATATGTCAAAGGAGACACCAGGTGTACAACATATGTCAAAGGAGACACCAGGTGTACTACATATGTCAAAGGAGACACCAGACTCCAGGTGTGCTACGATATGTCAAAGGAGACAACATATGTCAAAGGAGACACCAGGTGTACAACATATGTCAAAGGAGACACCAGGTGTGCAACATATGTCAAAGGAGACACCAGGTGTACTACATGTCAAAGGAGACACCAGGTGTACTACATATGTCAAAGGAGACACCAGATGTACTACATATGTCAAAGGAGACACCAGGCGTACTACATATGTCAAAGGAGACACTAGGTGTACAACATATGTCAAATGAGACACCAGGTGTGCTACGCTTGCTTCATTGTGAGGCTGAAACCCTTGAAACCCTCAGAGTTCAAGGTGTCGAACAGAGTCACTCATCCATTCCACTACCTGACATTGCTGAAGATCACATCATCAGTACCTGTGTGCTGTACACAGTACCAAGCGAGTGAATACAGTTTTTTTCCACTTTAAGCAATATTCAAGCATTATCACGTCTGGGGACACCAGAAATTGGCTTCACACAATGTACCCATGTGGGGAATCGAAGCTCAGGTGTTTGGCGTGATGTTTGGCTACCCCAACGCCCTAGGAACCGTACTCTTGGTACATTCCAGTACTAAAGTTCCGTTGTTTAGAACAAACAAGGGCCCAGTTAGAGAATTTAAAAACACTGTGATTATCTAATGTGTAGCTTAATATTATTTGAGCTTTCTTAACCAGTTGAACCAGCTTGTTTCCCTCCTTGAGTGGTTATTTTTATAATGTTGCAGAACGTAGTGTCAAATTATCAAATGAAATACAAGGACAAAATGTGCAAATACTCACAGGCTGTATTAAATGTCCTAATTCAAATGGCAGAGACCTGGAAGAAAATAATTCATAAAAAAATATTAGGACATGTAATTTTTATTTTAGAACTGACTTTCACTTTGAACTGTTTGACTCCCACTTAATAAAGGATCACACTACAATGCATAAACACAAATTTGAAACCAATTCTTAATCATTTGTCTATGTGAAAATTTCTGCGACAGAGTTGTCCATGAACCTGTGGCGTAATTATTGACAGATGCGTTCAAAGACATTTCACAGAGATGCTGAATAGTAAGGCTGTAACGATTCACTCGCATATTCGGTGAATCGAACTGTAGCCCTTCATGAATTCAATTCGTTATTCGTGGTCACCAGCACCAAATATTAACGAATATTTACGATGTTTTTAAGGGAGCATATTTTACTTGAACCCTTGTGTACTTTTGGAAAGTGAGATATGCAAGAATGGCACATGTACTAGCATTGCAGTAGCGTAAGTCATGTTAGTTTGCCAAGGCTGCACATGGTACTGTCGACTACAACTATTACATACCAAATTGGTTATTGCTGTGACAAATCAAAACTGTCAACATGGGCATTCCATATTATACATCAATCACTTAACTACAACATAGTATTAAGTGAATAATTATTCATATTCGTTACCCAATATTCATGATCATGTATCATATTAAGCCACATAGTGTATTCGCATTTGCAGCCCTACTGAATAGATGCTGGAGTTAAGTCATATACTTCTGCAGATCATTCCTGACTGTCACAGTCAGTCTAAGCACTGATTGTGTTCATGCTTGGGGATTTCCTTAGGACTGTTGAGACGCTCCATGAGTGTACTCATCATTTCAAGACCACAGTGTCATTAAAAACATAAATGAGAAAACACTGCATTCATATGCTTTGGATTTAATTTCTGATCATAAATTGTATGAAAGTTGTACACCAATTGAAATGGCACAGGTTGGCGTCTCCAGCTTGAATGGCAAGTGTCACCACTGCAAATGTCTGTAACAACTGACAAATCTCCGGTTCCACAGCAAACCTTTTATTCCGTGCCATCTGTACACATTTCTGTTTTCTGCTGCTTCTACTGTTGCCGGTTGAAAAAACGTATTGCAAAACGAACTCCCAACTGAAACTGCATAACATTGCATGCCCCTGTCCCCAAGTTATCTCCCCTTTGACAGTCATGTGACACTCGATCACATAATCTTAATCTAAATATAACTTAAGCATTTGACCGCAACAGCGGAGTGAGTGAGTTTAGTTTTACGCCACACTCAGCAATATACCAGCTATATGGCAGCGGTCTGTAAATAATCGAGTTTACGACAAGACAATCCAGTGATCAACAGCATGAGCATAGATCTGCGCAATTGGGAACCGATGACATGTCTCAACCAAGTCAGCGAGTCTGACCAGCCGATCCCGTTAGTCACCTCTTACGACAAGCATGGGTTACTGAAGGTTCAAGAGCAACCCTCCCATCAACATAGCATATATCTGCAGCTGTCTTGCTTACTAAACTTACCAAAATTTTAAAAGACCTATCTTTCCACTTGTTGTGGTCTTTTCAGGAAAAAATAATAAGGGTAAAGATGTACCTGGAACAAGAAAAGATTCACAATGACGGGATATGATCTTATATTCTCATATGTTCTACAATCAATCAAACACATTCACTATAATTGAATATCATATGGTATCCCCTACAGCAGGTGATATCAGAAAGATACACTATGATTGGCTATGGACAGATTAACTATCATTATATGACTGACTGACTGACTGAGTTTGGTTTTCGTTTCTTTCAGCAATATTCCAGCTATCAAATGGGCTTCACACATTGTACCCATGTGGGAAACCCGGGTCTTGGAGCCAATGCTTTAACCATTAGGCTAAGATTAACTATCATTATATGAAAAAACTGGGGTGTCCTTAAGTTCTTTTAGTGGTATAATATCAGCAGTGTCTGACTGCAACTTTAGTACTTTTATCCATACTGAATTATCACAGGTAGATGTATTTCTTACCACTATATATTGATTTTACATATTTGACCACTTCTTCTTTATTTTTATCAGGGCTGATTTCTTGACAACCTGTCACCCACTGCAGTAGTGATGAAACATGCCAATCCAGCAGCTGGAATAAGAAACAGGAACTTGAACAATGGTACACATGCTTGAAAACGTTTCGAACAAGAATATTTGTTTCACACAAACTTAATTCAGTGTTTGCCTTAAGCATAAAAAATTAGGAGTCGTCATGACTCCCCCGTGCCATGAGTGAGAGTCATGGACATGTTTTTGGAAGTCAACTTCAGTTTGGAACTTTCATCAAGACATCAACTGCGATTGCTTAATAATGACAAAAAAACAAGGTAAGGCAGGTCAGATATTTAATCAGCACTGAGCAGTGAACTGGCAAACATTTAGTTTTAGAAGTTTAGATTATCTGAACTAAGGACCCAGTAGCACTGCGTCAACAATGACGCAAGCTTCTAAATTCACTGCGCATTTGAGATAATTTGTGCATCATGGCAAACACTGTTTAAATCATATTGGTGCAGAAATTTATTGCAGTGGTTAAGCCCATGTGAATGAGCAAAGGGACACAATCATGGCGCAATAAGATCCAAACCCATCAGCAGTTTTCAGGTCATGAAAGGGACATAACTCTATATTCCAAAGGTTAACACGATTAACTTATCTTCCTTAGTTTGTACAGCAAAATCACTTTGTTGTGACAATCTGAAAACTGCAGTAAGGAATAGGTATTTCGATTGATTGATTGATATTCACACCATCTTTAGCAATACTCCAGCAATATCATGACAGGGGACACAAGAAATAAGCTTCACACATTGCAAACATGTGGGGAATCATCATCACTGTGACGAGTGAACGCTTTAATCACTAGACTACCCCAACACCAACATTAATGAAAGGGAGGGGTGTGGGATGGGGGACTGGATCATATATTGCTCCAAACTCCCCTTCCCTAGTCCCTAATCTCATGGCTACTAACACAGATATAAGTTTGTGACAAAGGTAGGAGTACTGTACTTACACAGATGTGAGGTACGACTAAGCTTGTGACCAAATGGTCAAGTGGTGAAATGTGGTCACAGACTAAAATTCTTGCACGTTTGTCCCAATTTTCATCTCCGTCTGTTGATATTATAATACCAGCAACACCAAACATGAACCTCAGGATCACACTGGAATAGAAAGATATATCTCAAAACATGATGTTTACTTGAACTGTATTTCACACTCAGAATTCAAATTGAAAAGAGGGATACTGGTTATAGATATCTGCTCCAATAGCATTTGAATCAAGGTACCCCTAATCAGACTACAGGACCGATAATTAATTAGCCTCTGATTTTGTAGGTTACTTTGCACTTAATCTATAATAAACTGTATTGTTTCAGCCCAAGATAGTCACTGTCCCTCCAAATAGAAAGACCATTCTGAAGAAGTCCGTCCCTGTTCAACACAACAGTCTGTCACATGTCAATGCAGCAACACCCTGATGCTACTCAATAACCCCTCATAAATCTTAACAACAACCGACTGGTCTTATGATCATAATAGATACAATGTGTATGTGTGAGTGAGTGAGTTATGTTTTACGCCGCACTCAGCACTATTCCAGCTATATGACGGCGGAGTGTAAATAATCGAGTCTGGACCAAACAATCCAGTGATCAACAGCATGAGCATTGAACCGATGACATGTGTCAACCGAGCCAGCGAGCCTGACCACCCGATCCTGTTAGCAGCCTCTTACTACAAGCATGGGTTACTGAAGTTTCATTCTAACCCGGACCTTCACGGGTCAATGTGTATGTGTAATGGCCCTTCCATACCTTATATATGTTACATGTATGATCCTCTGTGCTAAGTGAAGCACTTGACATTAATTAAACCAATCACAAATCAATGTACTTATGTTTTACTTAGCAAAGGTTTCCAAAACATTACATAAAACCTCTCAAGTTCAAACAACTGTAAGTTGTTAAGAATACCAAATCCACAGGCAGTTTCTGCAGATGTGATACTGCGATAACAACATATTTCACAGAAAATATATCACTGTATTTGTGAAAGCATGATGATAAACTTGTTACAGATGTCACCTGTGGGGTATATGAGCTGGCTGTTTGTGTATACACCTTGATCAACATGATCAAAGATCAAAGAAATGAAAACTAAATCATTGTTAACATCTGACATGTTCAAATCTTTGAAGGGCATTTAGAAGTGGAATACATAAGAAAAGTAACGTGTTTCTGCTTACCTTCTAATGAACCATGTTTTGGGGAGGAGAAAGGAGATGAGGAGAGCATGCAGTGAGATGAAGAAGCGCAGGACGGCTAGCACCAGCCCTAGTGGGAAGTATATTATGATTGGCACCATGGATATCCCATCTGGCAACCTGCAAACAAGAAGAAAGCATGTTCAGTTACAATGTTTACAAACCTGTTGGGATTAAGAGTTAGATGTTAGGTAAAACAGGGTTTAATTTTGCATTAAACAATTCACTAATTCTGTTTTTAAAGCGATATGCCTCACTTCTTTTGGATTCCACTTGTGCTGGGACGAAACATTCAGATGGAACTTGCATTACCATATTTTAGTTTGGCTAGGTTAAGGAATTAAGCTAACATTATTATTATTGAGATAAGATTTCACCACAAAGCAATGATTGTTATCTTGCTCACTGGGTGTAAATGGTCCATGGTTGACTTAGTGTGTGAAACACATGTTCCAGCCACTTTGTTCTGTAAAATTTCAACATGTTCAAACTTGAATTGAAATACTGGTGCATACCGGTACTCACTCAGGGTAGCTTCCACATCAATTGTTTAACAATTTACACTGGTAACTGTTAACTTAAAGGAGAAGCAAGCACAGGATTGTATCCCTAACACAACCATAACTAGTGGTGTAGCGATTCATCGATAGTATCGATGCTTGCATCGTCAACTACGCGATACGAGTGCATCGATACAAAACACATTTAGGCAATATATTAGGATCTATATATTGCAAGGGTCCACGATACATCGATGTATCGCCACAAATGACTGAATGACTGACTGAGTTTTGGTTTTACGCTGCTTTTAGCAATATTCCAGCAACATCACGGCGGGGAACACCAGAAATGGGCTTCACACATTGTACCCATGTGGGGATTCGAACCCGGGTCTTCGGCGTGATGAGACAACGCTTTAACCACTAGGCTACGCCCAGTATCGCCACAAGAGACGATATATCCCGATACAACTTCAATACTACTTAAAGTTGTAAGGAGTATTGCATTAGGAATAGGAAGGGAGTCTCTTTGAAATTCCTCTGAATTTTAAAAAAAAATCAAACCTTTTAGGAATTTGTTTGTCAGTGTCTGTTATCTTTGTTACATGGACAAAGGAGTTGCTGTATAAGTGAAAGAGAGTGAACATTTTTCAAACTCTCTGAACTGTAGAATACTTGTCTTTAAGTAATTGCAATATGTTTTAGTTGTTTGACAAATAACATCGTTTATTAACAACTATGAAAGATGTCTTAGTTTTGTTAAGAAAGAGAACAAAGAGAAGGTAAAATTTAGAAAGCATACTTAAGAGTTTTTTTCAGTGATTCTGAATTCTGACATAAATTACATTCAATTGTTTGTGAAAGAATCGGTGCCGAAACACACCTTCCCGAAGGAAACTTCGGTTTCAAACTTATATATGTTAGATCAAAGTATAATGAATATGTTTGACTGTACTTTCTTAAGCATTTAATGCTGAAACTTTATTAAATGAACAGCTTTTTAAGTGTGTGTGAATGTAACACAAGATCTGCTGTATAACAAATAAAGATTCAGTCATTTTATCTTATCATATATGTTCTGCTATTAGAAATTGCAAAGTATCGGGATACGTATTGTATCGCCACCATTGTATCGTGATGATAATTGTCTCACAGGTTCTTTGCCAATACTTTCATGATACATGTATAGCATCTTGCCTCATTAAACTGGTATCGGGATGTATCGTCTCTCCACTTAGACCACAATACACAGCTCTAACCATAACCCTATGGACTGACTGACTGAGTTTGGTTTTACGCCGCTTTTAGCAATATTCCAGCAACATCACGGCAGGGGACACCAGAAATGGGCTTCACACATTGTACCCATGTGGGGATTCGAACCCGGGTCTTCGGCGTGACGAGCGAACGCTTTAACCATTAGGCTACCCCACCGCCCCATATAACCCTATGGAGGCACACACAATTGTCAGAGAGACAAGCTGAGAAAATTTGTATAACATAGCTTTGTTTGGTTAAATGCAGAGTGTCTAGACAAGGTAAGTCAACTCTTAGCGACAAGTCATAATGCTGCCACTATTGTCTTTCTTGTGCAAGAAAAATAATGATTATGACATCCCTCTTAAATAGTCACATTACTTAAACAGGCAATGTATTAGTAAAAGGAATCTGCATGTTTTAATTTCAAATTCATATCATTACTTTATTGTAAAAATATTTAGCACTACAGGTAACATGCAGGTGCATAATGAGATACATCTCCAACAAACTAAACAACAGTGTAACCTTGGTTTATGGTCACATGATACTTGCCTTTGGAAATTTAAGTTCATAATGATAGACAACATGACTAAAAATATTGAATATCCATGGACAGTAATGAACAATGTAAAGTAATCCAGTTATACTAAAGAAACAACCCTACATTATCACCCCAAATCAACCATGTCACAATATCCCATGCATTAATGTGCTAAATGTTTGCAGCATCTGACACTTGCTAACCAAAGCTCTGTGATGTCAGTCAAGCATCTACTCTAGGCTGCTGGTACCACGCTGAAAAAATGTCCCCACAATCTCAGAGAATAAATTCTAAGATGTTAAGAATATTAAGTAAAAAAAATGACACAAATTGTCAATGACTCTGCACTATTTCACTACTTGAATACATGAATATTATCACACTGTTTCCAACAGTCTTGATTTTATTTCTGTTGGCAACAGTAGCTCCATCTGTGAGTTTACTATTGATCATGTTAGAAAATACAACGCCCAACTATTGAAAGGTTCCACTTGTTACTGCAATAATAGTGTCTTCCATTACCATTACACAGAATTAACTTTTGTAGGTATGATGTAGAAGTTTGTGCACACTGCAAATGCATTTGTTTATCTCCCTACGCAAATTTTGGTCCAGAGAGTGAACAATTGGAAATAACACCACCTGCAAGAAACATGAATCCGGGTGCAAAGAATAAAAAAGTAGTTATCCATAAAACGTGTCATGTATTCATGATAAAAATGTTGCGATATTTTTATATATACCATTTATTTTGCTTCCAAATGACTATAAGAGTGTCTGGTAGGGTGAGATGATATAATCTATTCACCAACCAATAAATAGTATTGTGAGAAATAGATACATCTCAAGAAATAATATTTAGTATCACTTCACTGATCCCAATTGCCTCCTCAGTGGTAAAAGTTCCTTACGTACCCCCAACCTAATTTTAACTATAAACTGTAGACTAAACTATAGTGTTTGCTCATCAAAAAAATAGGCGGGGGTACGTAAGGAACTCTTTCCACCCTAACAACTAACTACATTCGGGTGATCATGGTAAGTGACATTATTGTGTTGTTTTCTGCCATTATCACCCCACTCGCGTCTTTCAATGACCACGGACAGAAACAAATCTTTAAATCTAACAACCGCATTTTATTCGTTAAGCGATGTTCAGTTCTATATCTTCCTAACCTACTCAATAGACTCAATATTTTCTGTTGCGTTCGCCTTTAGGCTTCACCTTTTCTGCATTAGCGACTGAACCTTGACTGAGTAGATCGTCCCAAATTCTCTCACCTGTTGAGTTCCAACAAGCTGCGAATTTCCATTTTACCGAGCTATAATAAACACTCAAGGACTTCAATTTCAATATTTCTTATAAATTTCTTTACACGAATTAATTTCTGACGGTAAATAGGTTCTTTTTTCATGCAACCCAAAACACCATGGGCGCCGCCATGATGGGCGTCGAACTATGGGTAATGTAGCAACTTCCGGTGTTAGACGCACATGTCAATGTTTTGACGTAGCGCACTGGTACGGGTATTTCATTCGTGAGTCCTTAATATTTATTGAACTTTTTCTTTACGTTTAGAGATGGAATCCTTTAATTGTTTGGAAATTTGAAATCCCTGTCACTACAATTGTTTTTGTCTGTGAGGAGTGATGCGAGCTCCTGAGGCAGACGATTCATTTAGCACCTCTTCATCCGTTAGTCAACACCATATTGAAATACCGCCATCGTCAATCAACATCGTTACAATAACAACGCGTCACAATTACAAAATAATGAAGAGATAGCTATCATTTTGTTTTCGATACTAATTTTTCGTTTGCAGTATTTTTGTTGATGTCATTACACCAAGAAAATGTTATAGTTGTTCAATTAACCGTAAAGTGAGTATGGCACTGACCATCTAGGCGTGACCATGAGCACTAGTTTGGAATACGTCCCCACCACTTTGATTGTTGTTTGCCATAAGAGGTGATTTGTCATTGTAGGTGACATAGTTATCACTGACTGACTCCGTGGGACATGCTGCTCACTCTATCAACCACTGGGTTGTCAGGGACAGAAAGGGTTATTTACATGCAGCCTTGGTATAAGTTAATTATCACTAACTTTCTTAAAATCAGAATAATTAAAAAAGTAAAGACTGAACTTCAATGAGACACTTTCCATTTGTTTCCCTAAATGTGTGTATGAAGGTCGATTTGTGATGTCCTTACAGACAGTCCCTTGTCAAGCTCAGTCATGTTAGCCAGTAAATCGAATATGTGACACCTCATATACCCCATTGGTAGTGCAACAGTGTGAAAGTCAGATATAAGTGTCACAAAACAGTTCAGAGAGGTAAATCTGGGATGTTCAGAGAGATGACCTCATTAATTCACTAACAGACTAAGGCTTTCCAGTGAACAGGGTATTGTGAGGTGTTTATAGAGTTTGTGTTGCATAATTCTAATGCTAGGCCAGAGTGCATAAATTCACCATAAATTTGTTTCTTTTGTTTGTTTGTTATTTAACACTGCACTCATCAATATTTCAACTATATGGCGGCGGTCTGTAAATGTATAATGGACTATGTGTAACCGGAGTGGTCTCTTGTATACCACAATGGCAAATAGATTGCATAGATGTCAGTTTAATTGCAAAATAATTGAAGAAGGCCCTGTGGAAAAGGCCCAGACAATCCAGTGATCAATTAGCATTGATCTACGCAACAGATACTTTATGACATGTGTCAACCAAGTCAGCGAGCCTGACCACCCGCTCCCGTTAGTCGCCTCTTACGACAAGCATGGGTTACTGAAGACCAATTCTAACCCGGATTTTCACAGGTGGTTATTTTTATAAATTTGTGGCTCTGGTAATACTTGAATTACTGTTTGAGGTGGCATCTTCACACTTGCTTACTCATCTACTCAAGATGGGGAGCTGATGCATTAGACAATGATAGATTTGGTGTTGTTCTTAGGTCTGTCAGATTACTTTGAGGACAGTAAAAATTTAGTTCCCTGAAATATATCAAATATTTGTGGTTAAAGCGTTTTCTCGTCACAACGAAGACTGGGTTCGATTCTCCACATGGGTACAGTGTGTGTACCATGCTGTGATATTGCTGGAATATTGTTAAAAGTGGCATTCAATCATTCTCACTCAATCACCCACTTTTTGACTTGATAAGATTATTGTCAAGTTGATCAATTTGTACAAATGACATGTTTAATTCAAGAGATCTTTTGAAACTTTGTGTCCTTTAATGATAACAAAATCAACTAGGCCAAAATGTGGACAAAATGAAGCCACATGACCCCACATGACCCCACGCAGTCATGAGGTTACTGTCAACATTTGTGTGACACCCCAACATGAACAATGCCATACAGTAGTCTAGACTTTCAGTCATCACCTGCTCTGCCCCTACAGAAGTGTCCTCACGTCCAGTGTCACAGTGAATAACATTTCCATTTGTTAGGGTTGTTTATTATGAAGGTGGTTATGTCAATACAGAGCTTGTCAACAGTGTCATATGAGTTTGTCATAATAAATGTTAATGCTGAATTTTAAGTGATTCTGTTGCATTTGATATATCCTAACAGTTTATTTTCAGTTGTTTCCATTAACCCAAATATAATAAGGCCACACCAACTATTCAATAAGTGCAAACAAACACTGATTTATGCAAAGCTCTTTTATATATGTGTGATATCATTTGGAAATGCAGCCCTCTGTCCCCACTCTTCAGGAATGCTGAATGGCTCAATTTGCTTCAATTGCTGTTACTTTGTGAATATTTTAGTCAGATGTTAAACATTTCTTCAGTTTGCCATGTGATATGCCCATACCATGGAGGTGTTTTTGAGTACTTCAGAACCAAAGAACAACAGGACTCATAAAACTGAAACAGCTTACATTGCTAAGGAACAATTCAAACGAAGAGCTCCTGTCGATTGAGAGTCTACCTGCATAGTGGAAGGTCCCTTTTTCTTTCCCTGATGCTAAGGAAAATTCCAACCAAAAGGACTTGTCGATTATGCATAAATTATGAATGGTCTCTAAAAATTCCTGGCGACTTGTGGGAGATCAGTAGACTGAAGGATTTGAATATATATTACTTGTTCCTCTCTTTCTTTTTTTCTTGATAAGGGGACGGTAGGGTATGGATATAATCCATATTCTAATTCAACTTAGTATGTAACACTAGTTCTGATTGGTCAGGGCGTGGGGTAGCGTAACGGTTAAAGCGTTGGCTCGTCACGCCGAAGACCCGGGTTCGAAAATCCCCACTGGCACAATGTGTGAAGCCCATTTCTGGTGTCCCCTGCCGTGATGTTGCTGGAATATTGCTAAAAGAGGCGTAAAACCTAACTCAGTCAGTCAGTCTGATTGGTCAATGCTATAACTTTCCGACCGTATAATCAGCATATACGATCGCAATTTGAAAACCGATTCACCAAAACCTTAGAATGTATTCCTACACAATTGCACATTTGCAGAAGCCCTTGGCCAATTAACTCCCCTATCCAGCTAAAATGGGTGGAATTTGTGTTAAAAAAAGACAAAATAGTATCATAAATTTAATTTTGAGTTCAAACAACTTACTCGCAACGGGCTGTTGACCAAACACTGTTAGATCATGAAACAAGATTATGACGTCATTATGGAGCGTGACGTCACCTGCTGTGACGTCATTTGACCACAGAACTGATAACGGCCCGTAGTTGAGGAATCAGCGGGCCGCTCATTTCTGATAACTACAGAGTGGTTTCATCATAATTCCGTCCATTTTATCTATAACACTCTGATTTATTCATCATTGTCAGATTTAGACAGTGTGCACATAATAAACGTGTTGAAGTTGGAATATAGGGAACTACTTTTTCTGGCGATGGAGTAAGTTCAAGGAGTGATATGATTAACCTTTGACCTGGTTTAAATAATGAATTTCTTTCACGAAAAAACAGCGTAAAATGAGTTGAATTTTACCCCAACCCCCCTCCTCGCCTTGATATTGCTGGAATATTGCTAAATGCGACGTAAAACCAAACTTACTCACTCACTCTTTCTTGATAAAAGGTACCGGGAATTGACGTCTTTAGGCCCACGCTAAATTTAGCCCAGGGGCGAAAATATGGGATTTTTTAACGTATTTAAGTCCATGGACTTAAATTTGAATTTAATTCTTTGGTGTTTAGAGTGACGCCCCTTTCCAAACGCATGGTGAACCTTGACGTTTTCAACTTATGTAGTGCCTCTGCAAGGTTAGGACGTTTACAGAACATTTTGGACACCGGTTACAGGGCAGTTATTAGAGGCAGAAATTGATCATCTTAACCCATGTCATGTGCATGCAGTTGCAGTTAAATTGAACCATACATATGGTCATTCAATTTTGAATTTATAGACCAGTTTCCTCATAAAAGAGTTTAAAAAAAACCTGATTCTTTTTATTTCATCAAAATACTGCACGATTTGATTGGATAACCGATGACCTCTCAGGTCACGTTGTGACGGAACTACTTGTTCATTCATAACAAACACGTGAATTCATTCATTCTACAACTTAGATGCATTGTGGGAATGTAAACATTGCGAACTTTGCCGTGTCGCTGTTTAATTGTCAGTCGAACCGAGACATTATATCCGTCGAAAAACATAAACGCAATGTTTCCACCAGTGATGTTAGCCGAGTGAAGCAGTTGCAAACCAAGAAACGGGGTGCTACGGAGTAGTTTACGGAAGGAGGCTGTACGAGAGGCGATGACAACTGACATGCATCCTGATGTCGGTAACCAAGGGGACAGACGAGAAATGGCGTAGTGACGACATTACAGTGTGACAACATGCAAAAGTGTATGTCAGAGCAAAATTCTCCCGCAACCTCTTTATGAAACCGGTTTCGGTTTGAAACCACAACAATACCAAAACTACGCTATTTTGTCAATTTAATGCATGTAAGACGTGGGTAATAAATAAAATACCACACTCGGTCTCATTACATACGAATTATACGAACTCCTGACCTTCCTATGGTTTCAGACCTTGCTTTCGCTCGGTCAGATACCATAGGAAGGACACTCGTTTCGTATAAATTGTATGTAATGAGAAATTGTGTAGTATTCTCTATATGTTTCATCACTAGAACAGTGATTTTCCTGGTAGAGAATTCCTGGTAGTTGCATCTATAGCAAACATCACAGTGAAAGAAAGATGTTGAAATCCATACATCATATCTGTGAACTTCTAAAATGTGATGTGAGATAATTTATTTAGGAGATAAACATCATGTATTGGCGAATTTTCGGGTGTTATTGAGTATTTGAAGCACGGGAATTCATTTTCCCGCGCTTCAAATACTCAATAACACCCGGAAATTCGCCAACACATGATGTTTATTGACATTGTAAACACAAAAGTAAACCAAAAGGTCCACACACGTTTTTTTGTGTCTGCTCT